GGCCTGTAGTTCCTCAGGTTGTCTCACTTGTCCTTTCTGAAGATGGGTGCAACATTTGCCTTTCTCCAGTCACCAGGGACCTCCTTTGATCTCCATGACCTTCCAAACATCATAGAGAGTGGTCTCAATGTAACATCAGTCAGCTCTCTCAACACCCTTCAGTACAGCCCGTGGGGTCCCGTGGATGTGCTCAGGAGAAGCAGGTTAAGTCAGGAAGAACATTCTGAATTCAGGGGCATGGAGGAAAATACTGACATGTTTGTGAGAGAAGGGATCTAATGTAAAATTAGGACATGGATGGATATTTCTTTTTGTCTTTGCTAGTGTGTCACTTTCATGTAGTTAAGTGAGAATATAATTCATTCTTGGGTTCATATCTATTAAAGCTGCATTTCAGATTTCAGTTTTATTGTCAAGTGTGAAAGAGCAGGGACTGTAGGTCAAGCTGAATTCCTGTTGGTGAGTGATTCCAGGTATCATATCTCACCAAAACAGGATCCCATTGCTACCTCACACTCTATGTGGATTTCGTCTGCTTTACTTCTATTACTAGGTCATCCCAGTTGATTCAAATATTTACCCCTTTATCCTTTTTAATTCAGGATTTGTCTTCACCCCTCCCCCCAGTGAGTAGCATGTTTTGCTCCTGTTCTGCTGGTCTGTGAATTCATTGTTTGCAGGCTGGCAAGGCACCAGTTCTGGGGTGACAGATGGGGCAGATTGCAAACAGGGCAGTTGCCTCCCAGCCTGAATGATATTTTAATAAGCACAGAGAGGTGACAGGGAGAGAAGCTTCTCATTGGAATGACGGCAGTTTTGTTTTCAGCCTGAAAGCACTAATAGATGATTTTTGGCCTCAGTCCAAAAAAAAAAAATCACAGAAACTGGAAACAGAAAATCCCATTAGCTCCTAACTTCTCCCTCTTTTTTAAGGGTCAACTAAGTTTTTTCTCTCTGGTCTGTTATCCAGATAGGGAGTTGTTTCCCTGGTTTTGGTATTTCAGTTCTCTCTCAGGGATTCTATGCTTTGGGAGACTTGCCTTTTATTTATCTTTTGTTTTCCTTCTTTTTTTCATTTCATTCATTTTCTCCATTGTCTTCCTTCCTTCCCTAAACAATCCTTCTTCTAGTTTCTTTACACTCTTCACAGATTCATGGTGAACTCTGGCTGAATAATGGGGTCTACCAGCTTACTTGGCTTCCAGCTTCCACATCCTGTGATACAGCTAGTGCAGTGCTAGGCAATGGCATCTGCATGGGAATCTCTAGAGCATATGTCCTCTTCTCCCTGCCCTTCAGCTGTATCTCAGTTGTATAATACAGGGTCTGTGTAGGGCTTTGTTTCATCCTTGGTCTTATGAATAAAAGCACTACAAAAGGGAGCTCTTGGCAAAGCCCCAGCAAGCTCTGAGATCCCTCTGCAGTGTGAGCAACAGAGTGTGTTGCAGGCAAACTGTAGGACAGCCAGGCTTTCAAGAGAAGATTCTTTTTCTTCCTACGAGTACAGGGAAAAAAGGTCCAGCTCTTGCTAGGAAAATACCAAAACAGTGCTGGGATCTGAACTGAGGTATGGTCCCATACACTGATCAGAGAATGCACTGGAAACTTCTCAATATTTGGACGTAGACCTTCGTGTCTATTTAGAAAGATTCAGGTCTGGGTTTCAACTGGAGTATGAGCTGGAAATTAATGGGATTCCTGCTAAAATACGCTTCTTTTTCCTTTCAGATACAATGATGACACTGAAGGTTCAGATTCTGTTTGGATTCCTTTGCTGCATGATTTTTCTGCCTACAGATGGCTTCCCAGCAGACACCAGCACTGAATTTCGCTCTGCTTTCTCGGTGGCCAGAACCAGCAGCATGGAAGGGAGCTCTGAGATGGTCATTACCTTTGACAAAGTGTATGTGAACATTGGCAATGACTTTGATCCCAAGACTGGATTGTTCCGCTGTCGGATCCCTGGAGCCTACTACTTCTCCTTCACTGTTGGGAAATACCCAAAGAAAAACTTGTCTGTCATGCTGATGAGAAACAAGAATGAGGTGCAAGTGATTGTGTACGATGAACATCACCGCAAGGAGCGGAAGGTAGCCAGCCAGAGTGCCATGCTGCAGCTTGACTATGGTGACACAGTTTGGCTCCGTTTACATGGAGACCCCAAGTATGCTCTTTACAGCAACGTGGGCCCCTATACAACTTTCAATGGCTACCTAATCTATCCAGACACTTCTGCCTTCTTCCAGAACGCTCTTAGCTCTCAAGAGCTGGGGCCACGTCATCATACTATTCAGCAACTTTCCGGAGAACAGAATGAAGCTTCACAGCGACACATGTTATCTGATCAACGAAACAGAGAACAAGACCCTCGCTCTGCATTTTCGGTTGCCCGCTCACAAAGTCTCCTGGGGACAGATGACAAGCAAAACCAGCATGAGCCAATCACATTTGACACAGAGTTTGTGAACATTGGAAAAGATTTCAATTCCTCCACTGGCGTCTTCTCATGCCGTATACCTGGTGCATACTATTTCTCCTTCACCATTGGCAAAATGCCCTTTAAGACTATGTCAGTGAAACTTATGAAGAATCACAATGAGGTGCAGGCCATGATCTATGATGACAACCACTCCAAGAGGCGGGAGATGCAGAGCCAGAGTATCATGCTGCCTCTGCAATATGGGGACACTGTTTGGCTCTACAGCCATCAGCACGATGGCTATGGTGCCTACAGCAACCATGGCAAGTACATCACCTTCACAGGCTTCCTGATCTATTCAGAGGCTCAGTCAAAGTGGCTTCCAGGTGCCAGCTCACCCCAAGGGTCAAACAATTAAATGCAGATGTGAAAGGAGCATAAGAAAAGCCAAGGTGCCATGAACTTGGGTATAGCTCCTCTTCGGATATCATCCTCTACTTTGAGCATGCTATCATGTGTCCAGTGCTTTCCTTAAGCTGCACGCTTGTGCCCTGTCTGCAGGGCCACTGCTGTGTCTGCCATTCGTGCATAGAAAGGTCTTTACAGGTTGTATGTCTGTGTCCTGTGTTGGTGTTTGATTTAAGGATAAAGCATGAGGTAGTTTTGGGGCAGGGGTGGGGCTGTGTAGTGAGATGCTGAGGATCAGAGAACCGCTGCGGTAATGTTACTGCAGATCCCCAGCATCCAGAAAGCAAAGGATGTGGTGACTTTCCTTGCATATCTGGGGAGGGAATAAATGTAATGAAAATGAATGTAATAAAAATACAATGATGTAAAATTTTCTCAGATTGCAATTCTGTTACTTGTGAGACTTGTGTGCTTGTCACTGCTGGAGGTGCCAGCCCAGGAGAGAAAGAAGCATAGTGATCCTACGAGCTGCAGTATGTGTTACTGTACTACAGAAGCCAGTCTGTGTACACTCTTCTTTATCATTTGTGTGTGTGAAGTGTTGGTACCTCTTATGATTTTATTGCAAGTTTCACAATATTTGGTGCTTTTCTTAATCTGAAGTTGCTGAAGTCAAGAAGCTGTGTTTGAGAATCTTAGCTTCCATTTAATGAAAATAATATTTAGAAAAAAAGTAGGCTTCTAGCCCTTGTAGTAAAGGATGAGGGCTCAAATCTATAAATGGACCATCATCTAAAAGCTCAGAAGCAAGGTAAGTAAGAAGAATAAAACATGTATTTTTAAATCTCTTAATATTTGGGTCAGGAGCAGGTTCATAACTTGGAAGTGCGAGTAGTATCATGCCGTGCAACGGTAGTGTTGACTGCAGGGGCATTAGATTCTGCAGAAATTAGCTCCTTGAATACAAGGGTATGGCTAACCTGCCATATGCTGTATCGGTAACCTAGTGCAAGCGGGATCAAAGGTACCATTAAGTGATATTTTCAGCGTCTGTGTTCCAGCGGTTTCTCGCGCGCTGTGTACCGCCGAGCCGTGGCACTGCTGTAGGGAGAACTGGTGTGGCTGCAGAGGGCACTGGTGTGTTCCTACGGGGCGGTCGGTACCGGCAGCAGGATCCACCCAGGCGGGTAGGAAGAAACCAGGAGGCTGGAGGCTTCATCGTAGTGCAATTGGTGCTGTTTTAGTTGAGCTAAACTCTGGTTTGTCTCCCAGGCTACATAAACTGCAAATGTGCATCATCCCGAGCATGCATGGAACTTTGTGACATCACTTGAGTTTAGTTTATAATCTGCTCAACAGATAGCAATGCTTTTAAACTGATCCTAACAAAATCCTGGGTTCAAAACAGTGCATTTGCACCCGAGCCACCAAGCCAACCCCCTCCACCTTTATCCAGACATTCATATAGCTCAGACCGTATATTCTCCAGCAAGACGGTATTTTCATGCACTAGGGCCATCCCAGCTCAGACTTTTGATGACGTTCTCTGCTCAAACGGAACTTGTCAGCAGCCACTCCCTGCCCCCACCACTCCACAGATATCCTAGACATTAGAGACTGGGGGCATATTTGGGAAAAGGGTGAGGGGTAGAGATTGGAGGTATGTAAAAAAACAGCAGCAGGTTAGAAGAACATTAGGTGGGACACTAGTTTACTAGAAGTTATACTTCAAATAAAATGCTAATCTTACCTCCTACATCCTTGGGGGGGGGGGGAACCACAACAAAAAAGCAACAACGAACCTGCTTTATGAACTGTGTAAATCTGTCTTCTCCTGTCATAGCCCTAACCTGACCTTGAAAACCATTCTCTGCGGCATCTTGCTTCCAGGCTTCTTATTCCTGCCTCACCATTTCTCCTTTCCATCTGTTGGGCAACAACAGCTTGGAAAAAAATTAACTAGGTCAAAAGCTAGCAGTTCCCACTTTGAATGTCACACATGCCTCCTTTGCTGAGCATGGAAAATTAAGAGTATATCGTTAGAAAGGGAATTACAGATCCCATCATCTAAGCACATGCAATGAATGTTCAAAGTTAATGTACCTATAAAGGCAGCGGGAAAACCAGTAGAAACAAACAAGCAAAAAAAATCAAAACCCTCCCGAGCAGTTAATTACATTTATTTAATTCCACATTGCAATGTGTAAGACAGAGAAAAGTTAAAGATCTCTTTCTGTAAAGTAATTGTATTTCTGATTTTTAAGCTAGAGATTGTGTATTTATTATGTTTGGCTTGTAAAGTGCCATAGCTGTACAAAAAAACTTCATAGAAGAAGTAAAATCTGATGAAGAAATAACTAGGTCATGATCCTTAGGAATTTAAATGAGATTTAAGGAAGTGTGTTCCTAACAGATAACTGACAGAAAGCAATGTACATGTGTAAATATGATATGCAAATACTAGAAAGTTTCATGGAATACATACATTTTCAGGTTGCTTTTTTGAAGAAAAATGCATACATGAGATGGGAAACTACTATGGACACGTAAAATGTCCACTTGAGCAGAGAGCTGAAATTAAATATGTGACCTATATCATGAAACAAAACAGCATCTGCTTAGCTGGTTACTGGAGAGGAGAAAAGATACTGTATTTGGCTGAAACCACAGGGGGAATATAAGGAGGCTGAACTGAATTATCTGAAATGAAGTCAGCTAGGACACCAGTGTAACATCCTGGAAAAAAACTGCCAGGGCATCTCCCTAGTAAGCATCAGTGACCAAGATAGATAACACATCTAAACAGCACTGCCCCCTTCAGCACAGCCCACTTAAAAAAAACAAACAGAAAAGAAAACCAGGAAAGGGTGAAATGCATTTTATAGTTTTGTCCCATTTCATTTAAAAATAAAAGCTTGTGTATAAATCCTTAGAGGGTTGCCAACGCAACGTGGAAAGCGGGACAAAAAGGTGTGGCGTATTTGTACAAAGTCCCGAATAATGTGGAAAGCATCTGAAATAACCAAGGATGCAGGTGAAGACAGGTGTGTCCTTCCCTACCATAGTTTCCCTTATTAAGTGTCTCTCTCGCTCCTGGCCAGGTTCGAACGATAGAAATGTTTCAGGGATGCTAAATGTGAAGGCTTCTCCTTCCAGGGCCAGGAAGCCAGGAGGAGGGTGGTATTTGCAGGGCAGAGCCCCTTGCACAGATCACGAAACATTTCATCAACTAGCTGGGAGAAAAAACTAATCCAGAGATTTTTATCCAGACCCTGCATGGAGCGAACCTGATAGGCACAGTAAACACTGGTGAAAAGGAGACGGTCAAACTCGGTTAGAGGCAAAGGGGTATCAGTCAGTGAATAATATCTCAGATGCTGCTCAATCTGTGTCGGTGTTTTGGGAACTTCATCCTCTAAAATCTGGATGAACCGCCGTGCCGGGCGCAGGGAGGCCAGTTCTTCGTCCCACAGCCGGATTGTCCTGTTGGCCTGGATATCCAGCCCTCCCCAGAGCATCTGGAAGAGAAGAGCAGCGTGAGCACGGGAAGCCCAGCACAAGCCCTCCACCAGTTATAACCGAGCTGTAGAGCCATCTGCAAAGCTGCCAAATCTCAGGCCGGGTCGAGAGGCGGCCGCTCCCTGACTCGCTGCCCACGGCCCGCCTAGTCCCACTCCATGTCCTTCTCCGCCAGCCCCACACCCCTTTTCTGACTGGCCCCACGCCTCGGTTTCCCCATGGGACCCGTCCAGCTCTCGCCTCCCGCCCTGCCTCTCCCGCTGCAGTCCCACCCACAGCAGCTCCCCGGCGCAGCCACCTTGGGTGGGGGGAGTCCCTTGTCCCACCCCGGAGCTGTGAGGTGCTGTGAAGAGGGTCAGAGCCCCCTTCAGCTGCACCCCATGTTGGGGGGGGGAAGCACAAATGCAATTAGAGCATCGCTGAGGCATTTTCCAGGCGCTCCCAAAAACCGACAGGGATGAGAACAAGCAGAACGTGTGAGTTTTTACGTGCAGGCAGGTGGGAGCGCGGGCGCTAACAGTGCCTCGGCCCATGGGTCCCCAACGCCCAGGAGACCTCTAACATGACGTTGGCATCCTCTGGGCTGCGACGGGGTGCGCTGGCACTGGCATCATCCCTGCTGTGAGGATGTTCATCTGGAAGACATCAGGCAGAGTTTGGTAGCGCCAGACCACGGCCCTTCCTGTTTATTTTTGTCATTTGGTTGTCAGTGATGTCTTCAATATTTCTGACCTGCCACTCACAGTTTGCCAAACATAACAGATGCTGACCACGGGATTTTGATGAGCAAAACAAGTTTTTTAAGAGAAGCAGAAGTGGTTAAGGGAGGCAAGTGTAAGTTTTGGATATGATGGCCCTTAATCCTGCCAACAGAGCTAAAGCGTACAGCAGCAAAGGCACTTGCTTTGCCAGGGAGCACAAAAGGCCCTCATGCCGAGTATGGGTGGGTTTTGAACTGATGGTTTTGGCTGCTTGGCAGTTTTTGCTGGAGAAAGTAATGCTGCCCAACGGAAGGAGGGTGCTGGGAGGCTCCTTGACCTGCTGGTGGAAACATAACCTGATGGTTATGCTGGTTTTATATTTCTTCCCTGAGCATCTGCCGCTGGCGGGGACAGAGTGTGAGGGTAACAGAAACCCAGTTAGATCCATTATGGCTCTTCTCATGTCCAGCTAATTCTTTGCTGGGCCACCCAACATCATTTAAACTGGGAAAAAAATGGATACGAGGCCAGAGGAATGGGAGTTTATTAATATGAGAGTCACATTAATCCTAAGAATTCATCAGTTTTCATTTACTAATACTTCTAGTGCTTTAAATTTCTGCATTTATTTTGCCTTTATTATTTCTTTCTTCATGAAAAAAGGAGACACAAGTAGCCTCAGTCCAGGACTGTGAGAAGGAGGCTGCATCCCCTCCCTTCTCTGCGTTGATCAGCGTAGTCGTGTAGCCAAGACCCTCTTCTACTTCTTACAGACTCATCCTTCAGGTCAAGAAACATGAAATGGAAAAAGCTCTTATAAAATAGTAAGCTCTCTGACACATTTTTTTATTATTATTTTTATATGGATGAAGGCTTTTTTATATAAAAAAGAGGGAGAATTTATGTTGAGTACTCCAGAGTTAAGGTCAGCAGGTGCTTATAAAAAGTAGAAAAATTATTTAATACTGTATGTGTGTGATGACTACTATCAACCCCCCTTTCTAACTTCCCATTCTTGATTAAAGCTTTTCAGGGAGATGTACAAGCTGCCTGAAGAAGTGCACTGCCACCTCCCAGGCTGCGGAGGTTTGTTCTCTGCACAGCTGCAGGCTCCCAGATCCAAGCCAGCTGTGGCTTTGGAATGTGTGCAGGGATGTAGCTGCTCTTTCCTACTCCTCCATGGATGTGCCAGCAAGGCTTTTAGCTCAGGTGAAGTTACTACATCATCTGAAAATTTCTTTGCTGGGCTTCTGTCTGCTAACTGATCTGCTAGGTTCACAGATCCCTCTACTGAGAGAGGTCCGATTGGCTGCAAAGCCAGTGACTGTTGAATAGCCGCCAAACTGCTGTTATTAGTAACTGTCTTATAAATATATGCACCGTTAGATTTTTGAGCAGAGTAGAACAAAAATTAAACAAAGCATAACAAATAAGGTATTGAAATAATAACATAAATATCCTCTGGGGATGGGAAGATGGTCCCTTCCTTACTATATCATTCAACAGTTTTTTTTTTTTTCCCAAAAAGCATCTAGAAAATCCACAAACATTATTGCAGGAGCAGACTTTTTCAGCAGAGACCCAAGAAAACCCTCCCCCTGCCACCAAAAATAGCAGCAGATCTTCAACCTGCAAGTAGAAGTGTCTCCCCCACTGAACAACCCCCGCTGGGACTCCAGCTACCGCGCTCTCTCCGCGTCAGCACAGCCAGCTGAAGTGGTTGCCCATATCTGAAGAAGCAGGCAAAGTGTCGCGCCACTGGCGTTGTACGAACATTTGCCAAGCCGAGAAGCCGCATCGCTGACAGGTGCAATTCTTACCTGTCAGCCTCTGGGATCCAGCAAACACGCACAGGATCAGCCAGGCGTTGAACTGCACCTGGGCCATAGCAGCCCTGCCCGGTAGCGGCTGCCACCCCCTCCACGGACAGTGCCGTGTGTGCAGTGAGAGCAGTTTAGCTGTGGCGTCTTCCCCTGCTGCTTCTGGTCCCAGCAGCCTCTCTTGGAACGGATCCATCTTTCTGTGTTGCTGGTTGCAGTCCTGGGAAGAGCTTGCAGTTCAACTTGCTGACCCCGAAAGATACTTTCCATCGTATTTTGGAAACTTGGAAGACTTTGTTGTGAAGTTTTTGGCAAAATTGTTCAAGCTTCTTTTCCAAAGACTGATTTCCCACTGCAATTTATTATAGGGAGCTATTAGTTGCAAGAAATTTCACTACGCATGATTGCCTCTGAACAAGGGGGGGACCTCCTGGTCCCTTCAGGCTCCGCACAGCACCTCTGCCACATCTCCACGACACTTCTGCTCAGCTCTTTGGCTTCATTTTCAGTTTTCCTTTTTCCTGAGTTTGAAAATTTGCAAACAATCCTGAAATGTCATAAACAGATAAGGCTGGCAGTCTGTGCAGATTCATGGAAGGGCAGTAGCAGCCAAAATATACAAGCAGGAGGAAGAAATGTCACTTGTTCCGTTCTGTATCAAACCTCTCAGAGGGAGAACTCAATATACTGACCTAGCAAAACAGCAAGGATCAGAGCCTGCCAGGCTTTAGCACCTCATCGTCCTCTCCTGTGGCAAGACTTCTGGGTTATAATGAGCATGGTCTGCCTTAGATGTTGTGAATTACATAGGCAAAACTTCATCTGATTCCTTTCACAGCAGATATCTGTTCTCCACACATCTTTGCATTTCTGTCAGTGCCCAATCCCCAGTCAAGCTGTTCTGTATTTCTACTATGTATGGCACAATATTGTCCTGGGTTCTCCAAAAGGTTCTTGGATGCCAGGATTATGCAAATAAGTAATAATCTGTATAAATAAGTAATAATACCATCTCCCTCAGGTTAAAGGTGTTCTTTGGGGAAAGAAATCTGCCTAGAAAAGAGAGGAGGTGGAGCTGAAACACATCCCTTTCTCAGCAAGTTACAGGGTGTCAGTTTGTAGTGACTACCGTCACCAGATAGTTTACTGAGGGTAGGGATGATGTTCCAGTTAGTAAGTTGTCAGTGTGCAAAGTAGCAAGTCTTCTGAAAATTCCAGGATCTGTAGTTGTACCTGGCAATATGTGGACTCACACCAGCTGTGAAGAAAAGCAGCACAAAACGGAAGAGTCCCACAGATTTATCAAGGGATGGGGGGCCCTCAATATCTGGAGCCATTCTTACCCTCAGTTTGAATCAAAATAAGACCTGTGTTTCTGTCATGGCCTTGGCTACCTTCAAGTCAAGCTATGCTTCTTTCAGTTTTCATTATTTTCTGCTGCTTACGCTTTAGTTGCATCCCTTTCTTCTGGGATGAGATATCTCTTATTAAACTGTGAATAATATGCTACTCAAGAGGCAGACTCTGATGACCCATCTGTGCAGTGAAATTGATGTGCCTTCTGTTTTGTGCCAGAGTCCCTTACAATCCACAGTGTACATATGACTTTGTCTGGAAGTCACTACACAAAAAAGCCCTGCATCTCTTTGGCCATGAAATGGCTTCCCTTTATCATGCAGCATGTGACACATGGAGGAGTCCAGGATTTTGGCCAACATCTGCGAAGGCCATATATGATTTTGTCAACAGGAAAATTTCCTAGGAACAGCTTGCAGCTGAATTGCCTAGAGGAGGATGCATGTGTTGGCGGGAGGGAGAAGAGAGGAGGCTCAGAGGCTGCGCTTAGGTGAGTGATACAGTGGCAGGCGGAGGACAAGCATTAGTGGTAGATGCTGCCTTGAGCTGGAGGGATTTTGTAGAATTGCCTCACTATTCCGCACAGAAAGGCAACTGCAGAGCGATAAACATATGCCTTAGTTGTTTGTAAAGCAGCAGTAGTTATATGGTGCACAGAAACAAGCCTGAGTTTCTGACAGCTGCACATAGTCCCTGCATGTGCGATTGCAATGTTAGGCGGTGCGCCTGCTCCTCCCGAGGAATTTTGTCCTTGCCAGGTATTCACAGCTGAGTGTGCACAACGCTGCCCCTCCGCACTCCCCCTGGTCATACCATCTGTTGTAGGAGCAGTTTCAAAACGTCACATCAAGCCACGTTTCTGCAGGGGCACCTTGACTGGTTTCATGCTTTCCACCATGACCTCCTGAAGCAAGAAGATGGGAAAGGGGAGGGATGTGACGGATCAAAAACTGCAGGAGCTGGTTGGATGCTGATGCAAAATTTGTGCCAGGTGGCCGAAGCTTTGCCCGTCACAGGGGACCTGGGGCAATGGAGTGAGAAACTATTAAGGGAAGAGAGTAGTGAGGTGGCAGCCACCCTAACCTCAGTTTGCCGCAGTCACAAGTGGCAGCATCTGCTGGGAAGAATTCCTCTGGTTCTTACATTGCAGACTCCTGCAGGCCCTAAATCCTTGTGTCTGTTTGTTGGCTTATTTAGCGCCTCCATCTGCCATTATGTTGTTTGTACAGACATTTTCTTTTGTTACGTTGTTTGATCTTTGGTTTTTCAATTGTAAACATATACATAGCAGTGTTTGTACAGCTGAAGCTACCCATCCTCTCAACACAGTAGATTGCTGCTGCTTCCTTGTCCCATTGCAAATTACATCTGTATGCTGGGACAGGCACCTTGCCACAGGGACCCACACAGGCTGTGCTTAGAGACAGGCACATATGGTCCAGGACAGTAGCAGAAGGCACAAGGTGTGGTTAATACAGCACCAGAAGAGCCTCTTTGGGAGGGAGGTTTCTTTGAGATGGGACTGCAGGGAGATAGGCAGCATCTTCATGAAAGGGAAATTCTGCTTACAGAATTGGAGGAACCTCTTGCTTTGAACATCTTGCCCAGAACATGGGGAGACCACAGTCCCCAGCCTGGGCCTGTCTGGCAGGTGCTCAGGGGAGGAGGATGAGGCTAAGGAAAGAGGGGAAGGAAGAAGGACATACATGGCTCCCAGGGAAGGTGAGGTTTGAGTCACGGGAGCTGAAGAAGGAAGAAAACCTTGAGGGAAGTAGGAGTGAAGCACTGTCTGTAACCAGACAGGACCTCCACCATTATACTGTTTTTTTCCAGGTATGGTGCTGCTGGTCCTTATGCAAATGTTTTCCTTATCTTTTTTCTTTCAGTTTGTGAGCTGCATCCCCTGCTTGAAGGAGTAATGGCTGTGTAAGAGTGGCAGGGAGGGCCCCGTCCCACTGCACCTACTGCACAAAAGGATCCCCCTCAGGCCTCACACAACTTGGAGAAGATGTAATGGCATGCAGTGTGATGGGTGATACGGGGCATGCTGTCATCCAGCCTGTCCCTCAGCAGTCCCATAATCTGTTCTGCAGGAGTGCAAGGCCCAGCTGAAATCTCTATATGGATTTTGACTGGAGATCAATCATAAGGGCCTATACAGATGGTGTGGCTGTGATGCAGATGGGTGCCCTGATGCCGTCAACAGCCACATCCTCAGGGAGGAGAGTCTGCTCGCCTGGCTGTAGGGAGAAATGCCAGAGTTCTGGAAAACACCAGCAAAACCTACTCAGCTGGGGAAGCTCAACATGGTGACTGTGAGTCATCACCTAAAGTCTGTTTGTCCCTGCAGTACCAGAAAATTTCTGTTCTGAATAGCATGTCTGTAAGTCAGCTCCATCTGACTTGCATCTCATCCAACGTCCTCCTACAGCTGGGAAATCCAACCTAGGCAAACAAGCCTCATGGAGGCTGGTAGTGTGGACCAGGCAGGGACAGAGGATTTGGAAGACAGCTGTGTGCTTGACCAAGCTGACCACAGCCTTGCCCGGCATGAAGCAAGTGCCCACCAGCCACAAGGAACCTAGAGCGAGCAGGCTCCATAAGCAAGGATGGCCCCTGGGGCTCAGGAGCAGTGGAGGAGGTAGTGTGCCAACACTGGCAGTACCCTGTGACGCTGTGTAACCTCTTGTGCCCTGGGGTAATGCGTCTGGGTGAGGAAATTGCACTCTTCATAAGCTCCCAGGCTTCTCTAATGAGAAGAGATTTGGGTCCATTAGCAACTATTCCACATACTAAAGACCTGCTGGAGCTAATGCCTGTCCCCACAGGGCTGGCTACTTTGACTCCAGCACACACATTCTTCAGCAAACCTTGCATTTTGTCTAACTTGACAGGGCATTGTGTCTACCATTTCTTGATGTTACGTCAATCAAATTCTCCCTCTGCACAAACATTATGTTTAAATGGCAATTTTCCTTCTGCTACCATCAGTCTTCTGACTTACCATACTGGAGAAATAAATTTTTTTTATGATACATAGACCGTGAGTCTTGGCATGCTGCCTCAAGCAACCTGGGGTGGGGGAGGGAGAACGTTGCAGGGAAATGTGCTTTATAAAGAATTTTCACAGTAACATAAGTGGTGCCAGGAACTTTTCTGTCTTGTGCAATAGGCATCAGCATGCAAGAAGAGGCACTGCAACAGAAAACAGAACCAGCTGTGGAATATGTTGTAGGAAGGACTAAAAGTACATTTCTTATTTAATCAGCTCAATTGATGGCAGATCCAAAGTGGAGCTAAGAATTGTATGAAACCCCAAACTTCTGCTGATTTGTGTTCCCTTCTCTTTTCTCTTTCCCATGAAAAGCTGTAACTTTTAAGGTGAGTGGCACATGCTATTAATTTTAACTAGAGAACACTGTTCTGAGTCACATCCCAAACACTGCCAGCCGTAGCAGCCTGAAACAAATTAAAAAAAAAAAAAAAATTTAAGAAGCCCATGCTTACAAGGCTAGGGTGGAAACAAACATGAAACCCGATTCTTACCATACAGTTCAGCTCTTTATCCTTGCAAACAGATCAAATTCTAGTCACAGTGAGTACTTGTCCCTTTTTTTTCTTAATTGAATTTATTATTGTCCTATCCCTTCGTCCATCCCATACTCTAATCTCCCCCAAGCCCCTTTTTTAGTTACTGCTTTTACAATTCAAAAGCTTAAGTAGTGATTCAGGAAATCTCTACAAACAGCTTGTGATTTTTTTTATGAAAACTCTTATACAACAGTTT